GTATAAAAATATAGTTTTTTTTTGTAAGGTTATATATATCAAATGAACTTTGGTTTAATAGAATAGAAGTCATATAAAAAAAATTATATGTAACTAATATAAAAATTTATATAAACTTATCTCAAGATATATAACTAGATATTAATTATTTTCTATATCTTTTCTTGCCTAAATAAAATTATCATGTCTCATAAAAATTAGTTACAAAAAAAAAATTGATCCCTTTACTTAGGTCCTAAATATTTTTTTATATTTAAATGGTCCTTATAATTTAAATTAACTTCCAATATAAAATGTTGTAAAAAAATAAAAATTGATGTATCATGTTAACATTTTTCAAAAGCTTAGGGAGGGCAGCTGCTCCCACTTGTCTTACACTAGCTCTGTCCCTGGGCCTCAACCACTGTAATGATAAATAACTTATTTTATTAATAATTTAAATAATTTAATAATAATTTTTTTTATAAAAGTAAGAAATTATGAATTTGAGTTGCATGGTACACGAATAAGAAATTATGAATTTGAGTTGTATGATATACGAATTGGGTAAGTTACAAATGAAAGAAAATTACTTCTTATTATGCAATCTGAAATAAAAAAAATAAAATAAAAAACTTATTTTTACAATTTTCGCATTCCATTTAATGAATAAGTGTATGCGATGTTAATGTATTTGACTAGAATAAAAAGAGTAAATTATAAAATGATTATGTTCCATAAAAAATTTATACAATCAAAATTGTTTTTCAATTATTTTTTGTCTCAACTATGGAAAAATCAAAATTACCTCTTTAAAGTGAAAATAAAAAATTTTAAATTTAAATTGTATCATACAATATTTAAGTAAGTTGTGAAAAGGAGTTATCCCGCCATGTTACGACCCCAAATGAAAAGAAAAATGTCTCATTATAGTTGGGAGCGTGTATTTGCATAATACATACAAGGAAACACCCTTTCTTCATATAGTAGGATATCTTCAAGGGGGCGATTGATTCCAACCTTATTTAACATGATAAAGGTCGATTCAATTATTAAGCACTGTTAAGATAATTTAAATTACAATTACTATAACAATAAAGTGTTTTTAATGTTTTAAATCACAAGAATTGAATTCACTAATAAATAAGGTTCATTTTATATGTTAAGTTCAAGATTAAAGTTTCAATGCAGCATTTAAAGAAATTAATATTGTTAAATACATTAAGTCATTATGAGAGTTGTACTTTTAACATAACCAAGAATAAATTACCCATCTTATATAGATGGGTAGCTAACCAAAAATTATCTTACCAAGAATAAATTAATTTTAAAATACATAAAAATTAATTTAAGAATACTTTAATTATTAAAGCCATGTATATATACATAATATGATAAATTATCCAAATAAAAGGTTCTCCAATATAGGTTGTGTAAAATTCTTCTGCTTTTTCGATTGTGTAAGCATTTTTAGACATGCACGTGTCTTTTTGATGCGTAAAGTTAAGAGACAATATGATATGATATAGCTTTCTTTTTTGGTAATATATGATATGATATAGTTGAATATGTAACTTTATTGGAACCGTGAAAGGAAAGCAGAAATAAGCAGATGCTTTGTGTTTCTATCTATATTAAATTAATAATTTTAGCCGAATAATTTTTAGAGGTGCTTTTTAGGGTGGTGTTGTTGTTTTTTTGTTTTTTTTTTTTATTAAATATCTTTTTTGGTCTCTCTAATAATGCAAAAAAACCCTTTTTTGGTCCTTGTACCGAAAAAATCTCTTTTTTTGTCCTTAAATTTTAAAATCTGGTCCCTTTTTGATCCATCCGTTAAAGTTTTGCTTATCTAGCATGTTAATTAACAGAATCTCTTGATTATTTTTTATATAAATAATATAATAAATTACGTGGAAATTATGTGTACAAAATTATAATCAATGTAAGCATTTCATCTAAATATTTTATCTACATGTACAAATTAAAATTTTCATTTATTAATTAATGAATTAAATGAGTTTAATTAGCTTTAATTTCTTCCTCTTCTTCTTTCTTCATCTTCTTTCTCCTCATCCTTATCCTCGGCCTTATCCTCATCCTTGACATCATGGCATCATGTAATCACCATCCTCTTCCCCTCCCTTTCATCATCTTGGGTTTCGCAAGAAACCCAGTTGTTGGGTTCCTCAGTCCCAAAAACCCTCTTTTCTTTTTCTTTTCTTTTTTTTTCTTTTTTCATTTTGAATGTGTCTATATTCCATAATGAAGCCGAATGAAACCAAAGTTTCATATTCGTTTTTGAATTAGAGAAGTTAAGTTCTGAGTTGATTACGAAACCCAAATTGTGTTTGATACATGGCTTTGAAATTGCAGGGGATAGATTCATATTGTTGTGCTCATGTTGTTGTTGCTATAAACTTCATAATTTAATTCATTCATTACCTAGGTTTAACAAGAAAAAACGATTGAAAATCTGTAAAGAGAAGGATTGTTTTGCAGAGAAGAAGTTAAGATTGACAATATTAATAAATCACTTTAATTAGTAATTAATTTTTACTTTTACCAATGAAAATGATTTTATGAAAATAATTTTATGAATTCTCAATTATATCTCGATTAATCTCATATGCAAAGAGTTGATTATGAATGAGAAACAAGACTTTTGAAAGAAAGAAGATGATATCTATGGAGCAATCTGAAAGAGATTGGAAAAACAAAGAAAGGAGAATTGCATAATGTGAGTCCCATCAATTAAGTTTTTGTTTTCAAGCAAAGAGAGTGACATGGAGGAGCGTATTAAGTCCACATAACCATTTTTATACGGTGGAATATCCACATCAATAGTTTTTGTTAATTAAGTGCCAGATAAGCAAAAATTTAATGGAGCTACCAAAAAGGGATCGAATTTTAAAATTTAAGGACAAAAAAGGAAATTTTTTCGGTATAGTGACCAAAAATGAGCTTTTTTCAATAGTAAAAGGACTAAAAAGGGTATTTAACATTTTTTTTCTTTTTTTCATTCTTGTTTTGTGAGATTGCTTATAAGCAATTTTCTCTTTTAAATTTGTTATAGATAGATTTTGAAGAAAAAGTAAGATTTGAAAGTTCATAAAATATTGGTGAGCAATACTACTCTTCAACATTTAAAGTGCTTATAGTAAATTTTTGAAAAAAAAAAAGTCACTTAGAATATGTTTAGGTTGAAGAGAATGAAATAAAGAGAAAAGTCTTTTAATTAATTAAATTATAATATTTTTTAAATACCATAATTTGATTTTTCAAAAAATCTTTTCCTCCTCTGTTGTCCCCTCTCCTCTATTCTTTTCAATCCAAACACATTATAAATGGCATATTTTTCAAAAATTTACCATAAGCACTTCTAAATGTTGAAGAGTAGTATTGCTCACCAATATTTTTATAGACTTGTGATATTAAGAAGAAAGATACATATACGCAAATTGAAGAATAAGCTCTACTAAACGCACCTTTAGTTGTGGAATCATATACTTGGGAGTGATAGGGCATGAGTGGGCATAGTATTGCTGGTAAATGAGATAATCATTTGCCCCAAAAGGATTTGAAAATTTTCCCAAAAAAAGGAAATGAAAAGGTCCAGTAGGATAAGATGTTCCTCCCGTCTTTTCAAATTGTCTCATATTCTAATTAACTTACGATTTCCGATACACAACAGTAAAACTGCTACATGGCATTTCAAAGATTTAAACACCTTACTTTGACTCAAAAATAAAAAGTTTTTCAATTAATAAATATCAAATTAATTAAACTCTCTTAGGTAAAGTTGGTAAAATACCCAAATCCACCCCCAAAGTATGGTGGCAGGGATGGATCCACCCGCAACCAAAAAACAGAGGTAAATCCACCCACAAAGTTTTTTATTTAGATAAATCACCTTAAATTTAACGTGTTGTGTTCTCTCGTGTGTGTTTTTTTTTTTTTTTTTGTTTTTCTTTTGTTTTTTTTTTTCATATTTTTGTTATTTTATGACGTCACACGTTAAATTTAGGGTGATTTATTCAAATTGAGAACTTTATGAATGGAGTTGTCTTCATTTTTTGTTCGATAGTAGATCTGTCCCTATCACTATACTTTGAGGGTAAATTTGGGTATTTTACCGGCTTTGAGGGTGAATTTGGTTATTTTGCCAGTAAAGTACACCCCTTCTTATTGTGAATATATATTACTGCAATGACCTCTTTCTTATCTTTGATGTCATGTTTGGAACAACATGCTTGACCAGGCTGGGACACTGGTTTGGAGTTGCAGTAACCGATCTTGGCCCAATGGATACAGCTGTGTCAGTTGTAAGCCCACCCACCACTATGACTTGATAGACAGCTATTTACTTGTGGCCCTAGTG